TTACCCATATTTAGTGGCTAGATCTGCTAGGACTTGGAATCGAGTTTTGAATAACCCAGTTTAGCTGCCAAAAAAAAACATATTAGCTGCTTACAGTAAATCTTAGCCATTACTTTTTTGAGTTCCAAAACCAACCCAAACTGGGTGTCTTATCAATCCAACACCAAGTTTAAACACTATAAAAACACCAAGTACCACTACCATTACCCTCTGGTAATTTAACATAGCTATTGAAAATGACCATATATAGTGGATTTACCCATTGAAAATGGTGATTTTCCATAGTTATGTTAGTTTACCAGAGGGTACTTTGATGACTATTAAAAATTGCTTCATTTCACCAGCGGCACCCAGCTGGGTTCCAATACCATCTGCGGATTCTGCTTCTGCCACTCTGCCAGCTGAGTAGCTAGCGACCTTGGACGTGAGGTTGGCAAACAGCACGGCCAAAATGGACAAATCAATGCTTTGGTTTGAATGTTTGTTAAACAAACCAACATTCAGGATTTTCCAAAGAAACTGATTATATATGTATATATATATACTAAAATTGGTGGTAAAGAAGAAAAAAAGGTCTCTCAACTAAAATTGGCGTGTAATGTTCAGCCGAACGTGGATCTAACTCAAAAATGATGCGGACGTATACATTGTGTAGCCAAACATAGATCAAGGATTTGATGAGCACACATGTATCATGAGTATGGACCACCAGAAAACATGGGAATGTCCACCCATGAGTATGCAGGGTGCAGAAAAATCACCTCAGAACCCAAACATCAACCCCATTTTACCCGTCAAAGCATGTAAAATACGCGCTTTTGATGGTTTTTGCATTTCAAACAACTGCTTGTCCGATAATTTCGAGTTAATTGTCCTTTTAAAACTCAGTAAAACTCACGGTATCCCGTTAAATCTCCTGTTAAGTATCCCATGATTATCCACTGTCATCAATGATCCACCATCATTAACCATGTTATCAATAGATGATTCTCATTGCCGTAGGCCATATATAAACCATACTTATGTCTTCGTTAAATTTCATATCCCTATTAAACCATATAAATATCCCGATGATTCATATTATTTCTATAGTTAAAGTTCATCCATAGTATCCCATTAAGCATTTTTAACTCATTATATATTAACCCATTATTGACCCATTGTTAACCATTACAGACCATAGAAATGGCCAGTTTCCCTAACTCTAACCCTGATTAAGCAATCATTAACCTATTCTCAACCCATTATAACGCCACTATTAAACCATAGAAATGACCATGGAAAATCAGTGCTCATTCAGTTTCAAGGCACGTCGATCTGAGCACCCCAGACGTTGACTTGGCTAGAGCCTCTGCCGCGCAGCGGCAGGCCCTGAAGCCAAGGCAATCTGTGCATGTGTGATCAAAGGATGCACATGCAGTTGCTGACTGGGAGGCGCATGATATCTATATATATATGATATTATGCATTAAAATTATACTATACATTATATCATAACATACATTAAAATAAATTATACATTATATGATATTACACATTATTTGATATTATACATTATATTATGTTATACATTATATAATTGTTTACATTATATAATTGTTTACATTATATGATGTCATACATAATATTGTACTATACATTGTATTACAGTATACATTATATAATATTATACATTGTATTATATGCTATTCTACGTGTAATACATTATTATGTGTATATATATATGCATCTTACTGAATTATAACAAACAACTTCTAGTTTAGGTATGAAATGAAAGCCTTTCTGAGGACCCTGGGAACCTTGACTGACGTGTCCTAAGTCCTGGGGTACCCCCAGGACCTGTCGTCCATGATTTTAACAGTTGGAGTTGGACCCTGAAAATGACCAATTTATAGTGGTTTTACTAGTCTTCCAACCCCGAAAACTGCCAGGGTCTATGTTACCCTCTGATAAACTAACATAACTATGGAAAATCACCATTTTTAATGGGTAAATCCACTATAAATCACCATTTTCAATAGCTATGTTTGTTTGCCAGAGGGTAAATACCCAAATGGCTTAGGAAACCCCCATGCACCAACCCCGCCTCCTTCTGCCTTCCGAGGACCGCCAGGCGGAAGGGTGACCTGATTCCATGCCATGGCTATCCCAGGGACAGCTACACCGGCTGTTCCAAGCCCTTACCAAAATGTAAAATTTGACCATGTTTGACCAACAAGAATGGAATAACATGGAAGAAATGCCGTGTATATGCGCACATTTGTTTATATTATATAATGGAAATATGACACTTGGGTGTGTCTGCCAGTGGGGTGGACCCCCAATTTCGTCGCCATTTTAGGGAAAATGGATGAAAATGGTGATAAACCAACAAATTTAACGGTACCCTATGGTCAAACAAACCCCTTTCTTTGTCGGCTGAGTCAAGTTGGTTGGTGAAGGGCTAGCAAACGGCCATTTTTGGGGTGTCAAAAACTTGATTTTGTAAACGAGCACAATTTTTCATGATGAGTAGCCTGAATTTGCAACAAATACCTGAATATCACCACAAACCTCTTGAGAAATACAGTCATTGTCACATGGTCTCAGACCACCATTGTTTAAGCAGTCCCATACAAAGCTGGTTGGTGGTTTCAACCCCTCTGAAAAATATTAATCAGTTGGGATGATTATTCCCAATATATATATATATATGGAAAAATAAAAAATGTTCCAAACCACCAACCAGAAACTCTCCGAAAAACGATCTTCAAATATGTTGCCAAGCTTGGGTGGTTCTACCCATTACCTGTTGCATCGGGGTGTTCGGAGCCATCCCCTAATCTTGTTTTGAAACAAAGAATGGCCCATCATATCCCATCATAGCCCGTTCTGGGCACCTAAAAAAATGTATGTAGGTAGGTAGGTAGGTAGGTATGTATGTACGTATGTATGCATGCATGCATGTATGTATGTCTGTGTATGTATGTATGTATGTATATGTATGTATGTATGTATGTATGTGTATGTATGTATGTATGTATGTATGTATGTATGTATGTATGTATGTATGTATATGTATGTATGTATGTATATGTATGTATGTATGTATATGTATGTATATGTATGTGTATATGTATGTGTATGTGTATGTGTATGTGTATGTATATGTGTATGTGTATGTATGTGTATGTGTATGTGCAAATGTAAATGTAAATGTAAATGTATATGTCTCTATATATATATATATATGTATACGTGTATGTATACATATATGTATACATATATGATATATGTATATGATATATGTATATGTGTATTTATGTATATATATAAGTATTTATATATATATATATCTGTATACATGTAGTTTGTATATACATATATGCATATGTCATGTACATAATATTTATTTACTTATTTAATTAATTATTTATTTATTTATTTATATTCTTTACAAATATAATTTGTATATACAAATATAAATGGATATGTATGGATATAATTCCATCATATGGTTTATCATAGCACAAAATCAATATCTCTGGAGAAAGGCACCACGACTTGCTCCGAGCTCAGCCCTGGACCCACCTGCAACTGGAAGGGATCCTGGTGAATCATGCACTGTGCCCAGCTCGTTAGCTAATGAGGTTTAGATAGCTAAGTTGGTTTAGAACTCGAATAATGACGGGGTTGTGGCAATGACAACTAAAAGGTGGTTTATAACCCAGTTTACAGCCTCCAATGATTGTCCCATATATAAAATCATATAAATATCCATTTAGTTCGAGATTTACCCAGCTAGCCATTACCGGAGGGTAAACAAGTACCTGTTCATCCGAGATTCATCCGAGATTTGTGTGTTGGGTGATATTTTTCAGGCGATGAAACCTTCAGAAGCGGGTTGAGCATCAAAATAATGGCTTAAGATGGTTTAACCATCCTGAAATGGGGCTAGCTTATAATCATCATCTTACATAACACCTTTAAGATACTGGGATCTATTCTTGAATTGCCGGCCCAGACATGGTGGTCTTTAATATTGGAGGGGATGAATTTATCTCTTCATTTTAAAGGATATATATATATACAAATATATATTGAAGGGATGAAGGGAATGAAAATAATAATTCCTTCCACCAAATATACATCACCTCAAATGGAAAGTAAACCCGTAACATTCCCCATCATTGTCACATGATATTTTTTGACATTTCCATAGATGTTGGATTATAAGGCTCGAACATCCCCAACCATCCTCCAGGAACTATCTATCTATACTGTTGAACTTCTAATAGGGTTAGTATGTTTCGGATTTCCAGGATGTGAAATTAGATGATATGTGTCCCCAAAAAATCCGGGCTGTGATTCACAGGCGTCGAATTCTTGAATCGATTTCGCGTCCTTCAGCAAATCATCATTGATATGCGAAAGACAAACCATATCTAGATATGTCTACATCCTTTTCCTTGGGAAACCATGGATTTCCCAGATTCTTTCGTAAACTGGAGCATCATGTGGTAAGCCCAATAGCAAACCATCCCCAATTTCACCGGAAATAGATGGTGAATTCTACATGACACTAATTTCAACATCCCCATCACCAGCAGGACACCACCCCACTCTTCGGGTCATCCAACGAATCGCTGCTGGTTACCAGTACCATAGTTCAAAGCTATACCTCATTTGTAAGCTACATTATCCACGAATCAGGGACTTACGATCACCAGGGTTATTAGCCAGTTACTACCTCGCTATATATATATATGTTTTTTCAAATTTATCGAAGGAAGTTTAGAAGTCAAACTTCCGACAATGTCAATGTGGACAGATGGAAAAGCAGAGGTGGGGAGAGTCAGAGAAGAGAAAGAATCAGTAAAAAAAATGATAAAGGGACGTGTTGTGGGAAGCGTTCAACCATGGGGCCCTGGGGCTATCATCTTATCTCCCAACTCGTGGGGATTGGACCCCCGCCCCCCTGTCCAAAACCACAGAGATGAGTACGGACACCAGTCTCGACGTTAAGCAACTCGCCCCGAGCCGCGCTGTTGCGACCAGTGCCACAAGTGCGCGAGTTCGAGCCTGGCGCAGTGGCCTGATTCCTTGCAAAAAAAAACATGTTTAACAGTTTTAGATGACATTTAGATGAATCAATGAATAATAGTGAGCTATTACGAATGATCTATTGCAGATGACATAATCACCATGTTAGATCCATCTATTTGGATGAATAAATGTCATACATGTCATAATTCACCAAGCTGACATAAGGAAACCAAAACTAGCGTCGCGACCTGAGGTTGTTACACTCTACCCATCCAATTGGTTCCCCTTTGAGGACCATGTTGGTAAAACACTTAACTAGGCAACTGGATTAATTAATGGTGGACATATCTACACCATTGGTGAACATAAGCCAATCTAGATGTTTTACATGATTTGCTGAGAAATGAAGCAGACAAAAGTTTTATCGGATAAAGAATGGGAGTAAAAGTAGGACTTACCCTCCAGTCAGTCCTAACAGTTTGATACGGAAAATCCACTATTTGTAAAACATCTTCCTGGGGAAACCATGGGGAAACTCCACATGTTTTTTTAAACGCAAACGGGTCACCATCAAAATTGTGGAATTCTAAGCTGTAGAAATTTACGGCGTTCGCTCCACAAAGATTGGGATTTCAACCAAAATAGGGGGATTCTTGAACTAGCTAAGATGGTTTATAACTCCAGTAACTAGGCTTTATGTGGGTGTATGATATTAGGCTTTTAATTGGTTTCTAGGGTGTTAACCGTACTAAGTTTGTTTAGTTCACTAGGTGAACCATGGTTTATCGTAGACATATTTATATTTAATGGAGCTAAGAAAAAGCAACATAGGAGCACCACCCGGACGAACTACTTCCGATTCCCCGGTGGATTTTTCTGTAAAAAAAGTCCAACGACTCAGCAAAGCGAGGTCAACAGCCAATTTTTTATCAGACATGAAAATGGAGTCCCATTATCATCAATTATTAACTGGTTGGTGGTTTCAATCCCTCTGAAAATTGAGTTAGTCAGTTGGGATGATTATTCCTAACTGAATGGAAAAATAATCCAAATGTTCCAAAGCACCAACCAAATATATATATATATGTACTGTACCGCGGACATTCAGGTTTGCAGCAGAATATAACTGTACAATTTTACTCTCTGGGGATAACAATGAACCTTCAACGTTGTGTTTTCTATTGGGTCTAGATTGTTTTTATATCTGGATAGATTATCCAATAAGGCCGTTTTGGGATTTTTTTTCCCCTACTAAGCACCATTCCTGTGACGTCGAGGTCGCAACGTGAGGTCGCTATAGCTTATTCAGATTATATGATTCAATGGATTGGTTTAAGGGAAAATCTACAGGAAACCATAGATTTTCCCATTAAATATGGGGCTTTCCTGTAAATTTTCCCTTAAACCAATCCATTGAATGATCCATTCCACAGCAAAAATATGGAAAGGACAGCCGAGTCACCAGCAGGACTTGTTCCCTTTCTCGCGGGGCAAATCTCCTACCGCCAGAAATCTTGGGCACCGAAATGAGGGCGGCAAAAATAGAAGATCATAGAAGATCAACAATCACGAGACATTAAGACAGGCTAATATGAAAACAAGAAATGTCAATGCATTATAACATTATATTTGCCGTTTAACGTGGTTGCAGCCAAAAACAAGAGATACAAGATCATCGACAATACTATGTAGATGTAGGCAACAGGATATGCAATGTATATATAATATATATAATATAACTCAATTCTACTGGGAATGTTTATACGGTATATACATGTACATACATGTACATACCAACAGTAATCAAGCAACACAACATGGAGAAGCATTCTAACAATTCAAACAACACAAAATCCTATGGAGAAATTAAATTAAACATCATATATCATAAATTATCATCTCTTCTTCTGTGTATTGAATAGCTCTAGAGACGCTTGTGTAGTATAACGGTTAATACTAGACGAGTCCCTTACATTACTGGTTGGAGAGTCTCTACAATATACACTTACACATATATAACATACACTAATTGGTGGTTTCAACCCCCCTGAAAAATATGAAAGTCAGATTGGATAATCATCCCAACTATTGGGGAAAATAAAAGTCATGTTCCAAACCACCAACCAGAGTTTTGTCCATGTTTACCTGGGTTTACCTATTAAAAATGGTCATTTTCCATGGCTATGTTAGTCATAACCAGAGGGTAATATACATAACCAACAACAAGCAAGCTCTTCGTTGATTCGTCCCTTCCTGTGCTATTCCCAGGATCAAACCACACAGATCGGATCACAGATCGGCGCGCCCGAGAGCTTCTGCCAGAAGTGAAGGATCGAGAGTTCCTACAGAGCAGGTTCCCATGCCATGGACAGGACCTGTAGGACCTGTAGGACCTGTACTCTGCGAAAAAGTCAATTACCCTCCAATAGACATACAAAAAGCTCTTGAAATCCATGGGGTTTTCCCAGGAAATGATCCAGCAAATGCATGCAAATGCTGGGTTTTCCATATCTTCATTAGTTCACTAGGAGTTGCAAAAATACCCATGTTTTGCCGGAAACTGCACTGAAGTGGTCAAGGATCATATACGTCTCCAGTAGTTCGCGGCACAGTCATCAGTAGTTGATGCCCAGAGAACGTAAGGCTATGGCTACTATGTTTGTTTTTTTTTCTTCACTGACTCAGTGATAGTGTCGTTGTTCTCAAATTGACCAGCCAAAGATGAAGTGATGAGGTGGAAATCGTCCAAAACAGGGACTTCAAACTGATAGAAACGTGCCCCGCCTTCAGGTGACCATGGCACCAGCAGGCTAGATTCCTGAAGCCGCTTGATGGAACTATCAAACTATTGTTGATGATAAAACTAAATAAAACTACTATTATTACCATGCTTAGCGTAAAAAGTAACTATCACCAATTGTTAATATTTCATTACTATGATAGTATACTATCCCCAGGTACTTCAATAATATAATATCACTAATGGGACTACATGTATAGATATGACTATATCTTGTTGGTGGTAAAAATATATATATATATGTATATGTATATACATATGTATATGTAGAAGCGTACTATTACTAAAATGGCACTACCTCATATCTCTATTTATATATATATATATATTTAAAGACACAGTATATAGTGCCTGCAGCATCACTTAGTAGCAGTCACTATTTGGTGATCAGTCTAGTTGCCGGATACATATGTTCAGTATGGTGATTTTTGAGAAAAATAGTGACTAATGATCATCCCAATACTATTGCTAATAGTATTATCAAACATCACTATTTTTTCAGTGCCATAGTCACTATTGCCAAACACTAATACTATTACTAATGATCATCCCAAACACTATTACCAAACACTATCACTAATACTATTGCTAATAGTATCAAAAACTATTGCCAAACACTAATACTATTACTATTGCCAAAGCCAATGAGAAATCATTAATAGTATCAAACAAATATTGACTAATGATCATCCCAATACTATTACTATTGCCAAACACTAATAGTATCAAACATCACTAATTTTTCATACTATTACTATTGATGTTTGATCGGCTAATGATCATCCCAATTTGGGGTGCGGCATTGCCAGGGGATATAGCTGGAGCCGGTTCAATCCCATTGGCAGCTCCCAATTTTTGTCGTTACCCTGTGGTAACCATGGCAATTGAAAATCCTCATAAATGGCTAGAAATTGGTGAATGTCCATTGCTATGTTTTTTTGGGGGGGATGGGTAGCTGACCAATTGGATACCTCAAGCCAGCCTCTGGTTTTAGAACATTGTAGGGCCATATGTTCTCATAGTTTCCCCTTTTTGTTTCATGACCGAGATGGAATACGCTCCGGTAGCTGAGGGTATCATCCTCGGCAGCTCTCCGGGCGAGTTCTGCAACTTCACCTTCCACCTGGAATGGGTTTACAACGGTTGATCATGGTGAAATTATGATGGTCAATGGTTAAGAATTGTTCATAATGGTTAATGATGTGTTTTCTTGGGATGAATGGGACTTGAATGGGTTTATGATGAGTAAGGATGGTAAAAACAAAAAATAATCAGAGATAATGATGGTTAATGATGGTAAATGATGGTTAATGTATAAATGATTAACAATGGCAAATGATCCGCCCAGATTAATCAGAGGGAATGAATGGAATGAATGAGACTAAAATGAGGTTAACGATGGTTGATGGTTCATCACTGATAAGTGATAACAATGGTTCATAGTGGGCTGTCCAACGGGATACCCTCTGGTAAACTAACATAACTATGGAAAATCACCATTTCAATGGGTAAATCCACCATAAATGGCCATTTTCAATAGCTTTTTGTATGTTTACCAGGGGGTAATGAAATACCCGGTGTCATCAAACATGAAAAAAACATCTGCTGGATTCACCGCCATGATTCCGAGAGGGCATCCGAGAAGGCATCCATCCCGAGTTCCATCGGGGTTCCATCATCCCCGTCAGGTCAGATTTCAGCATGAGATGTTCCATCATCCCTGTTACCCGGCCTGGTAAACATACAAAAAACTATGGAAAATCACATGTTTTAATGGGAAAATTCACTATTTCTATGGTGATTTTCCATAGTTATGTTAGTTTACCAGAGGCTATCGTTTTTTCTTTCATCCTTTCGTATGGAGAAATGCTGTTTTTGAGAGATTTCAAACATGCTTGAAAGTTGATTGCAGACTCATTCTTGGCGATGTTGCTTGGTGTTTGTATTGGCAGTGTATTTGAACAAAGTCACACCTCTTCGACCGTCGACCCGTTGCCATCCAACTTTTGGTGGTGAATACGTTGCTTGGAATTGATCAAACCTTCACGTCTCGAAGAAAGTGATGTTTGACACCGCAAGCCGTGGAAAATATGGGTACAGTATGTGCCAAAACCCCGTTAGACCTATACTTCACATCAAGATAGCTGGTTAAAAAAAAAGTTAATCCCCCAAAATATGGTATATACGTACCGATAATGCTTGGATGTGCATCCCAGAAATCTCATATTAGTCATATTAGTGATTCATAACCATAGTAATGTTAATATCACATAATATAATCCACTTATGTATATTACATTACATTTATATATAATTATATATATATATCATATATTACTATAGGGTACCCCTTCATTGGATTAGTGGAACGCTCACCATCCAAGCCCCCAGCCAGACGATCTGATCCATGAGATGATTTCGCCTTTACGGAGCCATCCAGCAGGGCCTTGGACAGCCAAACTCCAGGATGCTTCGATGATGTTTTCCCAAAAAGCCTCTGGTAAACGTTTACATAACGTTCAACGTTGTTTACCCGGCCTGGTAAACGTTTACATAATGGTGATTAATAGTGATTAATGGTGATTTATAGTGATTAATGGTGATTTATAGTGATTAATGGTGATTTATAGTGATTAATGGTGATTTATAGTGATTAATGGTGATTTACCCTCTGGTAATGACTAACGTAGCTATGGAAAGATCCAGCATTTTCTAGCTGGGTAAATCCACTATTTCGACTGGGCCATTTTCAATAGCTATTGAATGACTAACATAGCTATTGAACATAGCTATATTACAATAATGGCTAATAATGGTTAACAATAATGGTTAATAATGGTTAATCACTAAATTGTTACCCTCTGGTAATGACTAACATAGCTATTGAAAATGGAATAACATTGCCCATTTATAGTGGATTTTCCTATTGAAGATTGTGTTTTTCCATAGTTATGTTAGTTTACCGGAGGATATCATTTCCAGATTTCCAACTTTTCGCCTTGGGGGATGCGACATGACATTATTTAACCATCAACATATATGGGGATCTTGCTGATAAAACTAATTAATGGATTGGCTTGAGGGAAAATTACCGGAAACCATGGTTTTGACATGTTTTGACACTCCATTCCCAAGGGGGATCCCGTAATTTTTCCCTCAAACCACTTCTTTGATACGGTCCAGTCATTGCATCTTGATTGTTGTTTCCACGATTTTTCCTCTATCCCCTTCTACCAGTACCAGGGGGGAGAAGTCAATGTTGATAACGCCCAATTGTTCAATGGCCAAGCACCCCTTCATTGCTCATGATCACCATCCAGTCCCCAAATAGGTGAAATGTGCTCCTCATCTTGTGGCGATTTGAATGGGGGAAATCAGCTATGACCAGAATCCCCACTTTTATGTTCCCATCCATATGAACTACTATGTAGTACTACTAGCCTTTGTCTGAAAATAGACTGTCAGGAAAATTCTCTCATGGTTAATAATCATTTTCATCATGGCCAGTTTATGGATATCCCCCCGTTTTCAGACGTGCCCAAATATCATATCGATTCAAAATCCGATTGTATCCCCGCATGTTGTTTATGAATGTTTATGAGTCAGTTATTGGTCCACAATACTAAACAGGTTAGGTATAATAATATGCAATCATATGAAACATATGTAATAATCATCAACCATACTTCTCGACAACTTGTTGACTTCTCAATTATTACTGGTCTGGTGCTAAACGTAGGGAATGAGGGAATGATCCAATCCATAACTATTCAATAATAATCCCATTCCCCATTGCCATCCATTCCCTACTACCCTCTGGTAAACTAACATAGCTATGGAAAATCACCATCTTTAATAGGTAAATCAACTATAAATGTTCCATGCTATTCCATTTTCAATAGCTATGTTAGTCATTACCAGAGGGTAAGGAGGAGTAAGAATTTGGTCAGTACCGCCAAGCTACACGTCCTCCTTCAGGCAACGCCTCATCTCGTCGAACTTTTTCTAAATGTGCAACGAAATCACCCAAGGGATGAGAAAAGCGTGGGACTTCACCAGAAAGAAAAGGATGAAAAACCTGCCCAAAAAATGCTGGTATTTAGGCTACTAAAATGGTCATTTGACCTGCAAAAATGATGATTTAACCTTCTAAAATTAGGATTTGAGCTGCAAAAAAGGGGGTCGAACCATCAGAAAATGTTGAAGTATCCCAGAGTGAGTGAATAAGCAGCCGCAATATGGGTTTTATCATCCAGCATTCCAGTCATGAAGGATGGAGATCCATAGCATATATATATATGGCGGAAAATTGACACATCCACCAACAAAACCAAGATCTACCCAATAATATCTCTGCTGGATAGACTAAGCATTGCTAGCCTTGTCTTTTCGCCGCTTCGCAAGAAAGTCTGCGATTTATACGTCGCGTTGCTGGAGACCAATCGCTGGTTCTTGGTTTCAAGCCAACCTAAAAGAAATGTTGCCTGTCATCTCAATTCCTATAGTGATTGATCTTGTTCAACCATATTTTACACCACGAACCCGGTCATTACACTTACTTGCAGGGCTTTTTTTCAGCCCGTCAAAAAAAAATGTTGCTTTCGCCCCTCACTTGGTTGCGAAGTTCAAATCCGCAGTCTTCTCCACCTCCTTGAGCTGCGCGATTTGCTCCTTCAAACGATCCTCCTGCGGTTGGAACATCGACATCACCTTCGAGTGCATCCAAACACCATGACTTGGAATACCATTTGAATTATGACATGATCATACATTATCTTTCAAAAAGGACTTCGGGCTAGACTTCTATGTTTAATGTTTGTTGCCTGTACCCCAGATCGTCCCTTTCCAAAATCCTCGTTTTATTCCAAATTTCTTGGCTACAAACCTACCAATTCAACTAATAGTTCATCTAAGACTCTAGGATTCGAACTGAGATTCCAAGAATTTTGCGACCTTTTGGTACCGGTCCTTAGACTTGGCGTTCTTCTGAATGGCTGCCTGGGCTTTCTCGATCTCTGCCTTCAACTTGGCCTTTTTGTCCACGGCCACCACGCCGTCCTTGCCCTTCGCCTCCTCAGCGTTGGCCATCTGCGGGCTACTGCTGAGGCCCAGGATCAAACCAACGAAGGAGGCCATGAGGACAGCAGCCAGCGGCGAGCTGCTACCGGTCTCCTGGTGAGGTGAAAGATCCTGAGTGTTCCCTACAGGATGGGGCCCCCCAGTGATGTTTGTTGGTTTATATATCATGATTATCTACCATAAACCATAGAATTCAGCCACTTATAAGGCAACTTAGCTATCTTGGGGGCCTGGTTCAAGGATTTTTGGGATGGTTTGATTATACATATTAAACAATTTGGAATGGTTGAATTGGTTTGATGCGGTGTTTAATGTCAACCCAGGATGAGTACTAAATTGGTGATGAATTTTGAGTTGAAAATTCGAGGCTAGCCCCCCAACTTTCAGAAAACTGGCGGGTTAGAAATCCTAGGTCAACATGAAAATAGGGACTAATGTCAACTGTCAACCCAGGAATAATGGGTATATTAATAGAGGGTACCCATGTTTATAGGAAAATATCATTTTGGGGACCCGCCGCCCCGATTTTCATCAAGGTTTATCAATCCGGGGTTGACATGAATCGGATGGTCCATGACTTAATTCGATTGGGATAGTTTACTGGTTGGTGGTTTTAACCATCTTGAAAAATATTAGTCAATGGGAAGGATTATCCCATATATTATGGAAACTAAAAAATGTTCCAAACCACCAACCAGGTTTAATTCTTGGTCTTCTGAATGTGGTCAACCTGATGTATTAAACCATCTCCAATAACTTCTTGGGAAAATTACTTTGCGGATCCCTGAAACATGGTAGTGGAAAATCTCCCTTTTATGGTGGATTTTCCTGTTAAGACCTCCATTTCGGTCACGGGAATTTCCCAGCTTGCCATGTTGACACCGGAGGCTAGTTCCAGACGGAGCTCCGCCGACCTATTTTTGGCAACGCTGCTATACCGCTGCTATACCGAGTAATCAGCAGCTTTTCTGAGAAGCCAATGATTTGGGGGGTGATGTTCTCTGATGTTCACCTCAACTTCGATTCCCAAGGCTTTTTGAAGTTTGACTTACCCCCTTTTTTTGACGTTTTGTTGGCTATTCGCGACCTGGATCCAGCGCCGCAAACAAAAGCACTCACAAAAACAAGCACTTGCTGGATTTGATCTTTCCATTGCTACAACGCATCCACTTAACTGTCACCAGTCGGTTTACCCAGTTATGATTGGGGAAACTAAAACCTGTTCTTTTCACAGTAGTTCACAACTGGCATGCAGATCGAAGCAGGAATGCTGGAAGCGCATTTGGATACCACCCCAAGATGGAGCACGCTAATATGCATATGTATATATAATATACTACAGTATAATAATACAGTATTTAACTATATAGTCCCACTGTTTATGGGAATGTCCACTCCACCCTCATCAGTGAGTATTTCAAGATTGCCATGGAAAATAAAAAACACCCTACTATCGCAGTATATGGCTGATTAATTCACTAGAACTGGGTTTGCCTGCAAATTGGGCACCCTTCCTGGTTTATGGTCACTACCACTGTTCAATGGCCATGAATTGTTGTTCAGAAAAAAACATGTACAAAAGATGACAAAAGCCTAACCCAGTTCCAGAACCATCTCCCCAGGTTTTTCCTGAGGAATCTCAGCTCGCTGCATCTGCTCATAGCGGCCGCTCCCGCTTCGGAGCTGGGTCCGCTGGGGCCGCGACGCCGACACCGCCTCCAAGGGCGCCACGAAGGCGGAGCTTTGGACGAAGGCAGCGCCCAAGAGGAGAGCCACGAAGCGGGACATGGCGAAAGGCGCGCACCGCGGCGAAGAACGGCGGGACGGGGCGATGCGACGAGCCTGGGCAGCTGAAGCGTTGATGATTTGGAAAGAAATGAGACATGTCGAAAGGCTCCGGGCTCGGCTCCATGGTAAGGAAAAATGATCTTTAGATGGGCCACAACTGCTAACATCATGATGTTGCTATGACAGAATCATGGTTGTTAGTGTAACAACTGACAAATGCAATGCCCGGAGCACTTTCCACAACGCCTAACGAAGCGTGGATTTTATCCAAATTTGGATTCCCAGTTCCTGGAAAATTCACCATTAAACATATATGATTTATAGCTCTAGGTAGTTCTCCACATTATTTCTCGAAAATGTCCCATAAACCTAGAAGCCAAACATAGAAAAACTGAACATTGAGGTGTTTGACCACCGCCGGGATCAGCTCTCATCCCCACAATAGTTCCAGGGGGCCCAAATTAGGGTTTCGTTTTGGGATCACAACTTTATGTTGGAATATCACCCTCAAAGTTTTTTTACTTTGGAACATGTGTTTCCAATTAGAAATTGCTGTTTTGAGGTTCCATGTTCCGGCACCCCCCAAAAAGGGTGCAGCAAAGTAAAATCCAATTCGAAAATAATGGTAAGTTTGACATCTTCTATCTACTGTATTGTCATAATCCATTATATATATATGTGTGTGTGTCTGGTATATAATGGTATATAGTATATCAGTGTGTGTATGTGTATATGTAAGTAAATATGTTAACACATGTTCTAACGGCCGTTTATCTTTTTTGGTCCCCCTGTCTGAGGTCAAGCACCAACCACAGTGGCGTGTCCAAGCGAACTGTCAGAAGCTCCAGAGTTTGCTGTGCAGCACTGGCGTGCACACCTGGTCGTTTCATCATGGAAAAATGCGATTCAACTACAAGGTAGAGCAGGTAGAACCCCATAGATAGCTAAGTTGGTTTATCACCCCAATAACTTAACTAGGGTTTATCATCTATAGTTAATGGGTGTTACAAGCCAACTTAGAATTTCGGGGTGCACCACCAAACGCGGGAATTGAAGGGTGCCCACCTGTTCAGTAGACACCGAGATTTAATCATCCTTCGCTGCAAACTAACCGCGTTTCACCGTGGAAGTCAACTGAAGTTCAGAGGGGTAGGTCATGTTTGGTTTAGATAGTAGAGGAGAGATCGAACGTGGGTTATGGTCGAACGTGGTTTTTTTTCGCCTACATGTTTTGTTCTGGAGCAGATCAGTTTGATAGTTTATAGATTGAGATCCCCAAGATCAAGAAACCCTAAAAATGGTGAGTGGTGAAATCTCCAGTTTTGTTGCGTTGAAATCTCATCCCCATGTGTCTTGTTTGTTTTACCCCTGTTGTTTTCAAAGTTACACGCCGTTGCAAAAAACATGTTGAGCAGCTTCCCGTGATAAAAAAAATGGTGAACTGCTTGAATCAGCAGTGTGACAGTGGGGAATTCTATTCTTTAATGGGTTACTGGTTGGTGGTTTTAACCATCTTGAAGAATATGAAAGTCAATGGGAAGGATTATCCCATATATTATGGAAAATAAAAAATGATCCAAACCACAACCATGGTTAGATCTACATTCTTTGCTTGGCCAAATCATAGCCAATCTTAGATACTCGTCAAACAAAATAGTTTTCAGTTGGTTTCTAGTACGTATTCCCATCAAACTGGCCCAAAAAACTTATTCACCTACTCAACCAGTCGGTCTGCCCAGATTGGTTTTTCGTGCCCATGGTGCCCGAAAATGCCAACGGTTGATCATCATTTTTCGGAATACAAAGAAATCTGGGGATATATCCTATTTTCAGACATGCCCAAATATCCAGTATCCCCTTTTTTAAGGCTCAATCCGCAATAAAAGGCCACAGAAAATCCACGTTTTGATACAAGAACTCGAGATTCGTGGGGGTTCCAAGTCACCCAAACCCACAGCGTCACAGCGCCCCCAACCTGTCAGGGCCAATGACTTCCACTGCACACTTTCTTTGGAAGTCACCGCCTGAAGCTGGATCCGTTTTTTTTGTTTTCGGGCTGTTTTTTATCCCCAGCTGTGCCATATTGTGCCATTGGTGCCATGGTCAAAAGATGGATTTAACATGATTTAACCATTATATATGTATAAGATTGTATAAGGAAGTTTCATGGGATTGTTTCACCAACTAGATTCAAAAGTTGGATCAAGTACCATGATGTACCAACTCATTGGGGGGTGATGGGGGATGGTCATCCATCCATGTTCTTTTTTAATTGCCCAATGATAAGGATTCCCATCATGGGAAGCATGACCATAGATACCATAGCTGATATACCTTGGCCACCTATAGTAAATGCTTAATGACCCATGTATAAGTAGGTTGTAACATGTTGTAACCACAGGAAGTAGTGGCTGTTAAGCTCTTTCCAACAAGCTCCATTTTTGAGGGCCAGCACAGGCACCACAATGACAGCATCTCACTTCAATCAAACAAGTCAACCAATCTTTCCAGTGTTCTCATTTCTTTAAGATATCGAACACCACCTTCACGGATTGATTCTACGAGTACTATATCATACAATGTCTATATTGTAATATAATTATATAGACATATACGGAGGTGTATATGGGTGGTACTCCCCAAATCATGCAAATTAGACTCGACGATTTTGGTATTAAGACCTGTGGTGACTTGGGAACTTGAGGATCCCCCATTTTCAAGAAACACCCATATAGTTAGCTTATGAAAAAAAAAACAACGTGCTTGCTCCCCACCTGTGAAGCGGTGATACTTGAAGCAGCACTGACCTGGGCTAAATTGACAGTTCGACCCTGAAAAAAAAAAACATGCTTAGTCGAAACTAATCTTCCAAAGCCCTAAAAATGGCAGGGTCGTCATGTTAATATACTGGAGGGTAAATGATGTTGCTATAAAGTATCATGAATTTTTATTATACGATGAGGATGAGGATCAGGAGGATGACTAGGATGATGCTGGGACCCAGCTTCGTTGACAATGCAACCCAGTGGAGCAATCGCCAAACGCTCAAGAAAACTTCAGCCTATATCATACAGTCGAAATCCCAATTTTAGTGATTTTTTACTATCCAAATCGATCCCTGGTTGAAGAAAATGTCCCGGCAAAACATTGTAAAATTATCATATCTGTATTTAGGAATAGTGTTGTGTGTATGTGTATATATATATGTGTCAAATTATCATATTATTATCATTCATATATGAATCAATGTCTTCTTTAGAGATTCTGCATGTTCCGAGGCAATCCCAGATAATCTAAGAATCACTAATAATCACCATTATTAACCATTATTAACCATTCTTAAGCATTATTAACCATTATCAAACATTGTGACCAATTATTGGTTTAGTCCCTTATATAAACATATATAAACCATGTTCACCATTCTGAACCATTAAGTCACCATTATTAAACATATGTTGCTGGAGTCCCATTATCGTCAATTATTAACTGGTGGGTGGTTTCAACCCGTCTCAAAAAAATTAGTCAGTTGGGATTATTATTCCCAATATATGGAAAAATAAAAAAATGTTCCAAACCACCAAGCAGTTAACCATATGTGGCTGGTTTAACCATTATTGAGCATTATTTCATGATTGACCATTATCCCATCATTAAGCATTAGTCCCATTCACCATTCTTTGCACATTCCTGGCATATTCCCAGGTAATTATTATAACTAATTCCCATTCATATCCCAGGTAATTATCCCTAACATATCTAATCCCATTCTCTAATCCCATTCCCATTCTTAATATATTAGTGATATTCGTACTATACTAATGTGCTATTCTTAATATACTAGTAATACTGGGAATGTGCTATCACCAATATATCTAATATATTCTAATATACTATGCCCATTCTTAGCACATTCCTGGCCGAGCCCCCCCGCAGGCAGGAACTTCTGCAGCCTCCGTAGCGCCCCACGACAGAAGCCGCGGGCCGCTTCCGTCGAGGCGACGGAACCGCGCCAGAGCTGGGTCACCTGAGAAGTCGCCCCCAAAAAATGATGGGAACATGGGGGATTTTGAGCCAAATACCCTCTGGTAAACTAACATAACTATGGACAATCACCATTTTTAATGGGAAAACTCACTATTTCTATGGCCATTTTCAATAGCTATATTAAATTACCAGAGGGTAATACCCTCTGGTTATTTAACATAGCCATGGTATAGATGGCCCATAGAAATAGATGGTTTACCGTTCTTAAAAATGGGTGGATTTTCCATGGCTATGATAAATAACCAGATGGCAAGTGGAAATTGGAGGAATTCATCAACTAAGCTTGGGATTCTTGATGAATTTGTAATTGGTAAGGTGGTTTAGAAGATTTTGGAATCAACTTTTGTTGGGAAAATCTACGTTTGAAACCACAGCTTTGACTAATACAGGGGTTTCCTGCAATTTGGAGCAGAAAATCGTTGAAATTTGGTAGAACGTATGTTCGAAAAAGGCGACGGCTTGAGATAGATCCTCGTAGATATTTACATATTTATATGGTTTACTACAATATGTAAATATGATGAAATATCATGAGAAATGTCATCGTAAATATACATATACATAGCATATTATATGTTTACCATGGTTTACCTACAGTAATGCTGCACCAGCCCAAACCCTCTGAACTTGTCACTTTCACATGCGCTGCGCATCCAGGTGAAACTGGGGCTGTTTCCGGGGCTACCTTCGCAGGCACTGTGTGTAGTGGAAGATCGAGTTTTTGTTCATTTCACAGCGGAATTTCAATGAGTGGTCGGTGGTTGAGCCATCCATTCCGAAATATGAAATATTATGAAAGTCAAATTGGAAACATCGTGCCATTTGTTGGATGGAAAACAGATATCAAATGGCATAGATGACCAAGCAGACTAGCCTTATTACCTGACCCGTGGAAAATGCTATACATTGTATATACATGGAAAACATCTTCATAATCAGAAGCAACAACCATCGCGTAAATAAGTTCAAAGCATGTTGAAGCTCCAGAAGAGCGAGGAAGATATCCATTTCGCAATGTTTTCGTCCCCAAAAATCCACCACGCACGGAAGACGCAGCGGCCACTCTCAGCTCTTCAAAGCTCCTGGGCTCTGAAGACGGGCAGCCATAAACTTCAACCGCTAATTGGAGATTTCCTCAAACGGGGTACCCCGTTTCATCATCCATTTTAGCAAAGATGTCCACTATAAACCATTATCAACCATCCATTTTATGGGGATCTCCCATTTTAAGAATCTCTCATAATTAGATAATATTAGATATAATTAGTAGATCAGTGATTCACAACAGCTTCTCTAGATTACTTGGTGGCTCATCCCACTTAGTAAGTGGGTTATAACCCCAGTTATAAGTGGATTAACCCTACTTATCCCATTTATAACTGGGGTTATAACCCACTTACTAAGTGGGATGAGCCACCAAGTAGTGGTTGACTAGTCAGATTTGCGGTAAATATTTCGCCATAGAGAGATCAATGGGCAGCTGAATGCTTTTTGTCAGGCCGCAGGGGAATCCTGTATTCCATATCCATCACGCAAAAATCTGCGTCCCAGTGACTTTCAGTGTGTAATAACCATATCATAACCGTCATAACCCAACTACCCTCTGGTAATGACTAACATAGCTATTGAAAAAGACCATAGAAATAGTGGATTTTCCCATTGAAAATGGTGATTTTTCATGGTTATGTAAACATTTACCAGAGGGTAACAAATGGAATAGAATACTCCCCAGCAATATCAGGGTTTCTTCGCCACGTTCGATTCCCAGGTCCCAGTGTTTCACCCTCGGCGCCTTGCGAATCGGGGATTGCATCAGGATGATTTCATCCGACTCCGACACCTCGTTGGCCGCCACACCAAATCCCACGCGCGGGGCCGCCGACGCTTCGAAGATGGTGTAATACTTGCCTTGGAGGCTGAAGTTGACCGAGAAAATCCTCAAGGATGCAGAATGCATTTTTCTGAGTGCTTGGTTATCCTGGCCTTTTTTGGCCCAGTTTGATCTAGTGCGAGTTGAGGTCAATATATAGACACCTTTCAAGGATCTCAAAAACTAGGTCGTAGTTCACATCCTGCAGCTGGGTCAACTTGAGAAAATTGACCGAGAGGGCTTGCCAATCCTGGTCAAAAGCATCAACCTACATTGACTCATTAGTAGTGTTCAATTCCTATTTTTCTTGGTCAATTTAATCAATTTCCTCCATTTGCCCTTGTTCCTATTATCCATTGGTGAAAACTAGCTTGGAACCCCCCTCACCTACTGTAGTCAGTTATACCCATTCATATCCCAATATAATTGCTATTAAACTACCTTTGACTAGGGTTAATTAGGATAAACCAAATTCAAACGTGTCAAAACCCTAGTTGCCCTAACATTTTATCGTGAGGGCCCTCATGTTACAATTGGGTTATGACACCCCGGTTGATCATGTTGGATTAACCCTAACATGATCCCTACCTTTCACTAGGCTTAACCCTGGTCTGGTGCTAAACGCAGGGAATTTTCGGGAATGATCCCAGCCATCACTAGTAATAATCATCCCAGCACCCCCCAGCAACCCATCCAGCAACCCTACGTTTAGCACCAGCCAGTCATGTCAGCCCAGTCGTTGCACGTTGCGCCCAGATTCGAAGCAACGGCTCGCCCAGCACGATGGTCTGCAGGGGGACGCCCGCAGCGACGACGCGATCGCCTTCTCTTCCTCGGATGGCTTGGTGAAAAGCGGAGAAGCTGAAGCCGTGCCAAACAATGCTGATTGAACCATGAAAAGTGGTGATTTTACCAACAAAAGTGGTGATTTAATGGGATACAATGAGGATAACATGGGAATTTAGGCATGAACAATTGAACAGTGTTCGAAACCCCTGGTGGTTGTTAGTTGGGGGATTATCACAATCAACGACAGGGTAGGTCGAAGCCCGGATTCCCTCTGAGGCACGTGGGGCCCGTGAATGGTGTGTCCCTTCTTAGTAGAGACATACTTAAAGTGCATTCCAGTTAAGAAGTGGTCAACCCCCAATACCCTAAGATATCCCGATTAAATAGGGCTATAATGAACTATATTCTATATCTCCAGTTATATTCTATGGTTTCTGGCCGATATAAATCATATACCTGGCACGTCCGGTAGGATTCATATCTCGCTTAATCCCAGAACCCGACCGAGGATCGAGTGCCGACGCTTTGTCGCTCCTCTACATCCCATGGGTGTAGCTGGGGAATGCAGCTGTGCCCTTCAAGCGCAGAATATTCCTGACGCAGCACCCATGATTCCTCAAGTGGCTGAAAGTGAATTATTTAGCAGGAGATCCACCGTTGTATTGTCTTTCACCCCTTTGTTGCGTTATGTTGCGTTAGATTACAAGTCATATAACACAAACATACAAAAACCAGCTCATGACATCTCAGCAACAACACTGCACTTCCAACTTACACCATTGCGGTCACCTTTTTCTGACTCATTACTTCCTTGGATCCGTCATAAAAAACCTAACTCTCCGGTGGATCTGAGCAATTTCCAAAGGATCCCAATCCAAAAGATCTGACTTCCACCTTCCATTTTAAAGGTAAATCCCCAAGCAAATTTATCATAAGTGAGGCAACCCGATCTGGGGACCCTGGGGACCCTGGGGACCCTGGGGACCCTGGGGACCCTGGGGGGTGGAGATTTCCAATTTCCACCCCTCCACTCCTTGGCATCCAAGGTCAGATTGCCATCGGCCAGCACAAAGGTCAAGGGAAGCCCCACTGCCTGCTCGCACAAGGGCCGCCTCAGCACTTCGACGATCCGATTGCGCGCAACTGGAAAGGAAAAAAAAATTGTTTTCCTATGGAAAAACATGAACAATCCTCAGGAATAGATGAGAAATACAGATGATTTAAAAAAAAAAAAGTCGATATGTGGGTTTGACCGGAAATTTCCAGGGCAAACATGACAATCTCATCCACCATGGATCCCTATGGATCCAGATTGGGGGGTCCATAATGGTCCATCGACCAAAATGACGACTGCAAAGCAAACAGCAACTGTCTATCAAATAGATTCAATTAGTATGTAACATGTGCTATAGATGGCAATTTCATGGTCATTCGGTCATTCAACCATGAATGACAAACCCCTGGGTCTAGGTAGGTGATACCCAAAACTTGCGAATATACTCACTCGTGTTCGTTAGATGTGCTACATGAATTACCAATCCCCATTAAACACAATTCAATCTCATTAAATCACCGTTAAACATCATTAAACGCCACTAAACAACATGAATTACCCCTCCAACACCACCGGATCATTCAAAACGAGCACTTGCTGCATCCCAAGAAGCTCCGAAAGCCAACCTTTCACTGCTGTCACCGCCAGCTTCTGCTGCATGATTGGTAATGCCTTGAAGCACGCGGTTATGCTGGATGGGTGTGTTATGGGCACGTCAAAGTTACGCGGGGATTGGCGTCAAGGTTTCATGTGGCCAATCTTGCACCTAGATACCCTGTGAAAAACTTACAAAGTATCACCCCAAAAACCAATCTGTTTGGCCATCACTTAAAGCCTGTATCATCATCATATTTATATATATACCCTCTGGCAATTGAACATGGCCGTGTAAAATGACCCATCTGTAGAGGATCTTCCTCTAAAATCATATAAAATCATATATATATAATCATATATAAAATCATATATCAAATCATAAATCCGACAATTCTCCATGGCATGGGTGCTTTCCCGCCGTCTCAGCATTCTCCCCTGCCTCGCTGGGCACGGTCAGGTGAGAGGAGCTACTGTCGATGATGGCTCTGCAGCCGTCGCGGCAGAAATCTAAGGCATCGCGACCAATGTACACAGCTTTCACGGCCACCTGCCAGAGGGAAATGTACGGTTAATATATGGTTAATATATGGTTAATATATGGTTATGATATGGTTAATATATGGTTATTATATGGTTATTATATGTTATTATATGGTTATTATATGGCTAATAATAATCTGTACATCATCTGGTTGGTGGTGCAATAACCATGGTTAATAGTGATTAATAATGGTTTTAACCATGGTTATTAGTGATTAATACCTGATCTAATGAATAATATATCTGGTTGGTGGTGCAATGTGCCCATCTTGAAAAATCATGGAGTGAAAGTCAATGGGAAGGATGACATCCCATATATGAAATGGAAAATAAAACATGTTCCAAACCACCAACCAGTGATGTGTCTGAGGCAGGTGTATGTGTGTATACATGTTATTGATATAAAGGATATGTGTGTTGACTTCATGACAACTCAGCACTTTTTTCTTGGGACATGTTAGGAGTAGTTGATGAGATACCTTGTGAAGAATTGGTGTTTGCTGCTAGATTTGTGCAACAAAGGATAACCCCCACAATCTGTCTTGAAAATAGCAGTTTTGTCATATATAGTAACAATATATGGTTATTATATGGTTATTATATGGTTATTATACTTGGCCGCCACTCTTTCGTTTCACAACTATACAGATTCCTTCTTGGGATCTGCATTTTATAAACCATGCCCGCTGCAAACATCGTCCATGTCCCCAGTTTGGTTCCTCCCTGAGTCATGGACAAACCCCTCTGTCATCCTCAAACTTCCTGGTTGATTGGGGCGGAATTGCGATATTGGAGTAGTCCCATTATTCATCCCATTATTCATCCCATTACTAATCCCACCCATTACTAATCTCACTAAAGCCAATTAGTCCATAGTCCCCAGTTCCAATCATCATTTCTGCAAAACGAATCCCCACGTGAACTTTTTTAAGGTTTGGATCCAACCATCGACTAGCACAATCTCATTGTAATAACCAACCGTTGATCAACCAACCATCATGGTGCTTTAAAAATCCTCACTTTGATGGTGTTTCACCCCATTGACCATCACTATCCATGTTTTTAATGGCTTCGAAATCCTAAAAATTTGATGGTTCAACCCCATTTCTTTGATGTTTAAAGCCATATCCCATCATGAAACCCTGAAGAACCCATGGGCGCGGGTCCCGTTTCGTTCCACGTGGAACCCTACCTGCCAGAAGCCCTTCGTGGGCTCTGCAACTGGCACCCAGGAGACTTGCGAAGCCAAGCGCCGGGAGTTGTAACCTCGATTGACCCGCGCAGCAAAGGTCTGGGGACATCACATGTGTTACCCTCTGGTTATTTAACGTAGCTAT